AAAAAAGTATTAAATATGGAAATGTCTCACACTGAGAGCACTGGTAAAGGTATAATCAAATGCAGAAATGATCTATTTCTTTATTGAAGACTTAGTTAGTGTTTACAAAACAGTGGAGAAAATATCATTGAACATGGCAAGTTTCTGGTTCTCCCTTTTGAAACAATATATAATAGAATATGTGATGACTGAAACCACAGTAAGAGAAAACACAAAGGCAGATATCTCCCACTCAAACCAAAACCAGAAAAGTGGTATCCTGACAAAGGTGGAATGCTTGCAAGACCCAGTAAAACAAAGCACTCCCAAAGAGTCTTGACTATCACCAATCGCACAGCATTTAAATAATTAATCCAATCATGGTTTCTTTGCAAAAATAAACATGAATGGTAATGAATTTCCCTTAAATGCTGATTTAGACACAACCTAAAAAGTTCTTGTGTAATGTATTTTCACTGTAATTTGGTCACATTTTTCTTTTGTTCCTTTAATGGATTCTGTCTAGCCCTGTAATATTTAAGTATTAGGCTGCTAACCACCAGGTCCTCAGTTCAAATCCATCGGCAGCTCCTATGCAGGTATATATATAATCCTATACAGATTAATATGGGGACTTCTAGTCCTATAAAGAGTTGCAGTCTCAAAAACCCACAGGGAAGTTCTGCCTTTTTCTTCAGCGTCCCTATGAGTCAGAATTGATTCTACAGTGATGAATTTTAGAATTTCAGATCCTATATATGAGCACTTTATAGTGATGCTTTCCTTACCGACATCTCAATGTATTGATTAACTACAAAGATGCGATACATTTTATGCAAACATGCCTAGGCAAGGATTCTCAGTGATTTGGCAGCTGAGAGCTGGTAATTCCCCATCATATGGCTCCATACCACTGGAGCATCTCCATAACAGAATCTGCTATTAGTGTCCAAGAAGTTGTAAGAAGGTTACGGTGAGATGTAATGCCCTTAACTAGACTACAGTCCTGATGCCATCAATTGAAAGGATTCTTCCTGAGCTGAACCAGTCAAGGAGAAGTGTAGCACTGAGGAAACATACAACATTCCTCTAGTTCCTTAATGCCTCCTCCGCTCCACCCCCTGCACTATCATGACCCTAATTCTACCTTAAAAATCCAGCTAGACCAGAGTATTTACACAGCTACAGTTAAGAGCTGGAAACACAGGGAATCCAGGACAGATAACCCCCTCAGGACCAATAATGAGAGTAGCAATACTAGGAGGAGCGGGGCAGGGGATGAAAGGGGAAACTGATCACAATGTTCTACATATAACTCCCTCCCAGGGGGATGGATAACAGAAAAGTGGGTGAAGGGAGACATCAGTCAGTGTAAGACATGAAAAAATAATAATAATTTATAAATGATCAAGGGTTCATGACGGACCGAGGGCTGGGAGAGGAAGGGAAAAACTGAGGAACTGATACTAGGGCTCAATTAAAAAGAATATATTTTGAAAATGATGATGGCAACACATGTATAAATGTGCTTGATGCAATGGATGGATGTATAGATTGGGATAAGAGCTGGTTGAGCTGCCAATAAAATGATCAAAGAAAAGAAAGAAAAAAAAGATGCTTCCTTAAGGGTGTGACCTGCTTCCAGTATAAGTGGATGCTGTAGAAAAGCTTGCTTGTTTGGGGTTGTTTGTTTGTTTGTTTTGCTGGGTCTAGATCCTACATCTGGTCTATTGACCTCTGGATCTTTAGACTTGAGCCAGTGGCCTGTCATACTGCCTGCTGATCCTAAGAACCAGCAGCAAACTGCCGTCTGACCTGCAGACATTCCATCCATTTGCCTCTGCGGTCATAGGCCTAATGAACTGACCTTGGGTTCATTAGCTACTGTGGCACTAGCCTGTTTTCTTCAAGTCATCATGGGCTCCGCGGCTGCTGCAGCTACACACATAAGGAGAAGCCTCTACCCAACACTTGACTCATGGACTTGGAGCTTGCAGCTTCACTAATTTTGCTTCTCCACAGAACCCAGCCTGGGACATTGTGGTGAGCAGTCCAGAGCTTAACCACTGCACAATAATTTCATACACACATAGGACATTGTGATGGATTGACACAGTGGCTGTAACACAGCAAAGATGGTAAGGATCTTGCAGGACCAGGACATGTTTCTTTCTGGTGTACATTGAGATGCTATGAGTTGGGCTAGAATCAGTTACTCCTAACACACACACACACACACACACACACACACACACACAATTAATTATGTGAAATTAAAGTTACTATATTTTTTCTTCTTACTGTTATCTAGTTGATTCCAACTCACAGTGACCCTATAGGACAGGGTAGAATTGCCCATGTGGGTTTCTAAGATTGTAATTCTTCATGGGAGTCCAAAGCCTAATCTTGCTCCTCAAACACATTACACACACACACACACACACACACACACACACACACACACAGCTTCAAGAAGTCTGTGGAAACATTCCATTTGTTTCCCTTCTACTTTTAGGTTTAAGGTTTGCTTTTTGGTGTTTGGGTTTTTTTAAAATCATTTTATTGGGGGCTCATACAACTCTTATCACAATGCATACATCCATCCATTGTGTCAAGCACATTTGTACATTTGTTGCCATCATCATTCAAAAAACATTTGCTTTCAACTTGTTATCAGCTCCTAATTTTTCCCCTCTCTCCCTACTCCCCACTCCCCCTTGAGCCCTTGATAATTTATATATTATTATTAGTTTGTCATATCTTACACTGTCTGACATCTCCATTCACCCACTTTTCTGCTGTCTGTCCACCAGAAAGGAGGTTATATGTAGATCCTTGTAATCGGTCCCCCCCTTCTACCCCACCTTCGCTCCACCCTCCTGGTATCACCACTTTCACCACTGGTCCTGAGGGGTTCATCTGTCCTGGATTCCCTGTGTTTCCAGTTCCTATCTTTCCAGTGTACACCCTCTGGCCTAGCCAGATTTGTAAGGTAGCATTGGGATCATGACAGTGGGGGGGCGGAGGGGAGGAGGCATTTAAGAACTAGAGAAAAGTTGTATGTTTCATCGTTGCTACCCTGCTCCCTGACTGGCTCATCTTCTCCCCACAACCTTTCTGTAAGGGGATGTCCAGTTGTCTACAGGTGGGCTTTGGGTCCCCCATTTGCACTCCCCCTCATTCCCAATGATATGACTTTTTTGTTCCTTGATATCTGATCCCTTCAAAACCTCGTGATCACACAGGCTGGTGTGCTTATTCCATGTGGGCTTTGTTGCTTCTGAGCTAGATGGCCTCTTGTTTACCTTGAAGCCTTTAAGACCCCAGAAGCTATATCTTTTGATAGCCGGGCACCATCAGCTTTCTTCACCACATTTGCTTATGCACTGATTTGTCTTTAGCGATCGTGTCAGGAAGGTGAGCATCATGGAATGTCAGTTTAAGAGAACAGTGTTCTTGCATTGAGGGAGTACTTGAGTGGGGGCCCAATGTCCATCTGCTACCTTAATACTAAACCTATAAATATTGGCACATAGATCTATTTCCCCATCATCATAAATAAGTACATTTACATATGTACATACCTGTATTTAGACTTCTATAAATGCCCTATACTTCCTAGTTCCTTCCTGTATTTCCTTTTACTTCCCTCTCTATTCTTACAAAAACTTTTAAAATACCCATTGTACTGTACGACATATACACATCCAAGTGAAATTATACTTAAAACCTCAATAAAATGACTCTTGTGTCTTACCACTTAATAGAGTTTGAAGTTTTCAAATCTGCATTATGTTTCAATATCTGTGAGTGGCAGGCAAGTCATTATTTTTCACCAAGATTTATTTACCTTTTTATGTTCACAGGGGTCTGCCTCTGGCTTCTAGTGCTAGTTTGAAGGAGGATTATCGCATGGCTGCCTTACTGCCATCCCAGGATTCTAGTTCAAATGCGTCCCTGTTGCTTTTTACGGGCTTTGTTCCTTAGCAGAGATATTACCTGCCAACTGGCTGTGACAGTGCCTTAGCCACCACTGATGCTTGTGTTTGTAGCATGGCAGGATTTATAGCCCAGAAAATACATTCAGCATGATGATTAGAAATTAAAAATACAGAAATTTTCGGAGTTAAGATTTACAATGGAATACATATCAGAAGCAAAGTTAGAGAAGTACTGTGACTTTATGAATACATTTAATTTAAAAATAGCCTGAAAACTAGAAAGTCTCTTTCAAGAAGTGCCTGTCCAATAATTAACACACGGCCCATGTTCTCAAGGAGAAGAGGAACTACGGAGACCAGAGTAAACAAACGCACAGTCCTTGAGCCAATACTGATGCATATTGACCCTATAGGACAGGGTACAATTGCCCTGTAGGATTTCAAAACTTAAACTCTTTACTCAAGACAAGAGGAAAGCCCCGTCCATCTCCCAAGGAGTGGGTGGTGGTTTACAAGGGCTTACCTTGCTGATCAGGGCCTAAGGTTATGCGTTGGGCTGCTAACCACAAGGTTGAAAACCACCGGCAGCCCCAAATGGAGAAAGAGCAGAGTCTCAAAACTCACAGGAGCAATGAGCAGAGTCCAGAGAAGAGGCAGATTCAGCCTGATGGCTTTTTATGCAGATAATATTCTATCTACCCCTAGTGCCAGAAAACTACAGAAGAAATGTAGAAACTACTAAAATGCACACACACGTGCGTGCACACACACACAAACCCCCACGAATTTCAAATGACAAGGAATATACATACTTGTACAGTATTATTAGATTAAGGAAATTATCTTAATGACTTTTCTTTCCTAGGCTCTTTTTGGAAATCTGTGAATTCCACACAATGAGGAGTATCAGGGACGTATACCAGCATTGTGTCCCACAGTGATTGAGTACTTAGCAAAATGACCATACCAGGCCAGGCCGTAGGTCGACTGGGTAAAGGCTGGTCAGAGAAAAGCCTGTGCACACGCACGCTTAGATGAGGGTGTGTGTATAGACAGACGTGAGCTTGAGCGGGTACTTACAGCCCTTGTCCCTGAGCAGTTTGGAGACTGGCATTCCCCACTCATCCGGTTTGGAATGAGGACATCTTCCCAGCAAGACGGGCCCTGTGAAGAAAAGAGAATAAATCTTGGGTATACAGATGGTAATCCACGTACATTGTTCCAGTGAAACCACATCTCTAAGGAAGCTGCCGTTGGAATCCACAGTTTCTCCAGCCAACAGGCAAGTCTGGGATCAACAGAGGTTGGGAGGCGCCGCTGTCCCTCTATGGCCCTGCCGGCAGGGCCATCGAGAACTTGGATTTTGAATATTCCCACACTTCCCAAAGAAGCATTGTTTTTCATGACAAGTATTGTGGTGCATTCTGTGCACTGCTTTCATTCTGAGGGGCTCAGGCTTTGAGATGTGCTAAGCAAAGGGTTTGCTGGTGAACAGTCCCCAGTGATCCATGGGTAAGGACTCTACAGCGAGCTTGGTGGGCAGATGGCATGTCGTCCTAACGCCTTCCTTGTCTTGTGTGATTAAAGCAAAAGAGTTAGAGCACTTGCCAGTCTTGCGAACCTCCCAGCTGCTCTGAGGGAGGAAGCGGGCAGTCAACGTCTGCCAAGGCCTCGGTTTTGGGAAACGTTTGGAGCAGGTCTACTCTGGCCTATGTGGTCCCCATGAGTCACAACTGACTCCGTGGCAGCAAGTCTGGTTTCAGATTGCTTTCTGTGCGACTCCATTGGGAGAGAACCTTGGAAAGTGAACCCCAGGTCACTGACCAACATGTCTGGCCCATCCGTGTCCTCTCAGAGTTCCTTTGGTAGCCTTTCAGCACAAGGAATACTAATGTGAGCAACACTCTACATAGACACCTGTGAGTTCTTCCAGTGGACCAGGGAAGCTGGCAGTGGGAGGTGTTCTTGGGGATCCTGACATGATATCATGCAAAACATCATGAAGGGAATGCTCTCCAAGCTACATGGAAGGGCATGGGGTCATGAGTGAGACCATGTGACTTAGGGAGAATAAGAAAGCACTTTCTTGGCACTTCAAGTGAAGGGCATATATGTGCACTCCCACACTAGTCACAGCGATGTAAACATGCATCTCCTTTTCAATTTGGGAATCACATGACTGCCAATTGATGTTCACGGTGATAAGCAACAAAAGTACATACTAATCAGCTTGGAAGGTATAAAGGGAAGGGCAGCCATGATAAAAACGGAGAAGGCAAGAGTGGAGTTGGGGGAAACAATGGGCATGGAAGAGACCAATAGCCTTACATGCTGCAGATTTTTATTCTAAGGCCTTCTGTGTGTTTGAAGAATGGCATGCATTCATGACCGTGTGCGTGCATTCTTTTCACAAGACATTATAAAGTTATTGAAAGAAAAGTGAGGTAATAAATAAATGATCCAGTACCCATCTGTCAGTGTGTCATCCTGGGCTGGCTGTGATGCTAAAAGAGATGCCACTGGCATTTCGGATACTAGCAGGCTCAGCCACGGTGCACAGGTTTCAGAAGGGCTTCCAGACTTGGAAGAAGGGACTCCCAAGTTCTAGCCAGACAAAACCATGTGGATCACAGCAGACTAGTGTTGGACTTGGCAGTGCAATGTGGCTCCTGGGTTGCAGGGACTCAAAGTTGAAAATGCCTGCAAATGTGAGCTCAAGTGCCCCAATGGACCTGAAGATGTGTACAACCTAGGCATTGATCCCTGTTCCCTGTGCTCAGGGTCTCTGGGGATGACAAGTGATGGTAAGTAACAAAAAGAAGAGTGAAATGATACCTAAAACTTTAATCACATTCATCAGCCTCTGTTTTTCTAGTTTAAATTGAGACGTGGAAAGGGGCCAATATGGTGAGCAGGTGGACTTCGTTTTATCAAGACCTAAGGAAGAGGCATCGTTCTCTATCTGTCTGGATCTCTGCTTCTCTGTAACAATGCTGTGCCTTACTCTATAAATAGCTATTTGGGGTTGTGGCTTAAATGCAGGATGCTAAGCACTAGGTCTGAGGTTCAAACCCACCAACCACACACATGGGATAAAGGCCTGGTTTGCTACTCCTGTTACTATTCACTGTTTCAGAGAAACTCAGGAGCAGGTCGACCCTGACCTACAGAGCCCCTCTGAGCCAAAGTGAACTTGAGTAATAAGTATTGTTTATAACTCATAGACACTATAAACTAAGTGTCTTTCCATTTTAGACAACTGAGTAAATTTTAGAGTCAAATGCATGACCTACGATAGATGGCTTACTAATATCACCGATTATTCTTTGCCCCATTTCCCCTAATTTAATTTCTTTTCTTAACTTTTATTCTAAATGTATCACTACACACTCGCCAATCTATTCTGAATCAAAAGCAATAATCAAATAATGATCTCTCCTGGCTTTTTTCCTTTAAGTTTCCAACATCACTGCAGTTCCCACAAAAACAGCTTCCCACTTCCTCTGTCCTCAGCCACGTGGTAACTTGTCCTCGTGGGATGAAGTGGTCTGGGGCAAGTTGACTCTGGTTGGTCAGCAGTAGTTCATACACTGTGACTTTGGGGGATTGACAATGAACTCAGCACACTGCGAGAAGCCCTGGTGGCAAAGAGGTTACCCATGAGGCTGCTAACCGTAAGGTCAACCGTTTGAAACCACCAGAAGCTGCATGGGAGAAAGACGAGGATTTCTACTCCTGAAAAGAATTACAGGCTTGACAATCTGTCCTGTGGGTTTGTTACGTGTTGGAATTTACTCCATGTCAGTGGATTTGAATTTTTTTTTTTTTTTTTTGCTGTTGTTCCTCAGCACACCAAAAGGTTCGGCAAAGTACCTGCTTTGAAAGAAGTACATTGAACTAAGCTTACCCATGAAATCAGGAGAAAGATGAGCCTTTCTAAGTCCATAAAGAGAGTCTCAGAAATCCATAAGGTACTGTGTTAGTCTGGGTACTTTAGAGAAACCAATCCACAGAAACTCATGTATAAGAAAGAGTTTTAAATAAAGGGTTAGTGCACATCAAGAAGACATCCCAACCCAGTGCTGCTCAAGCCCACAAGTCCAACATTAGCCCATATGTCTGACACCATTCCACAAAGTCCTCCTCCATCTCACAAAACACACGCAATGACGCCAACTGCAGGAGGAAAGCACAATCAGTGAATGTGTAAGCATCTCAGCGCTGGCAGGGGTCTCCACACGGCTGCTCCAGCACCCACAGCTGCATCGGGGTAGGTCCATGCAGCTTCTCCTTGGGGGTGTCTTGCAGGAAGTGAGCCTTGCCAGCTGAAGCAGGGAACTAGCTAAGGCAGCTGCACCCTGGTCCGACCATCACAAAGCAAGAGACCCGAGAACTAGAAAGGCGAGGCTCACCAAGCCATTTATCCTCCCGCACTTTAATTAACCCAACATGTGTTTATTGGCCAGGTTGGCACAATAAGCTAACTCAGGTACCTTGTACCCTGTCCTATTGGGTGGCTGTGAGGCAAATGGACTTAATGGCAATCGGTTTGGAATTTTTGTTTGTTTAATCCTGAAATCAACACAATGGTGCCTCTTCCCTGGTCTGTCAGAAGGAGGCAGTTTCTCTGGGCACCAGTTCAGGAGTCTGAGTCTGTGGACGCCACCATCAATGGCAAAGAGAACCCCTACAGGTTGTGTCAGTAGCCTCCAAATGAGAGCAACCGGTTCCTTTTCCATTCTTCTGCCCAGTGTTAGATTTCCAGCCACAAAGTCATTGAGGAAATGAAACTTTCTGTTCATAGCAGAGATGTTGCTTTCCCACATCTGTATTTTTCAGAATTCAGAACAGCAACTACTGTGTTTCCATGGTAATTCCTGTAATTGCCCTAGAAGGTCCTATTTTATCTGACCCCCTGAGGTTGGGCAGGTAAGTTACAGAACGCTCGTTCATAATTTCCCCCACTGTTCTCAGGAGCATAAGAAAAAGGATGTGTTTCATAAAAGCACAGAACTCCTATGGATGGAGAAAGGCAACATGCACGGGTTGGTCCACACTGTTTGCACTGCTGGAAGTCCCTGGGTGGTGCCAATGGCCACCTTATTGACTACTAGCTGAAAGGTTGGTGGTTTGGGCCCACCCAGAAAGGCCTCTGAAGACACCCTTGGCTGTCTCCTCCTGCAAGGCTGTGTCTTTGAAAATCCCTAGAACACATATGAGGTCGCCGTGAATCAAAATAAGGGGACCGCAGCTAAAAGCAACAGCACATGGGCTTCAGGATGCGGTGCCACTGCTGTTTCTGTGGAGGGCTAGAAACAAATGTAGTCTTTGTGACTATACAGCAGATGTAACTTAACTCCTTTGCAGATTCGGAAAACACACATTTTTCTTTGCCTAGCCATTGCTCATTCTGTGCCCATAATTGTGTGGCTAAAACCTTCACTTTAATATCCTTTCTACCGAGTAAGAAGGGAAAAAGCAAAGATTTCAACTCCAGGGAAGATTAGCGTCTCAAAGGGCCGCAGGGGCAGTCCTACCCGACTGACAGGAGGCCCATTGGTTGGAATTGACCCAGATAGCAGCACGATTTTTGGTGGGTTGTTGCTGTTGTTGTTTTTTTTACTTTTATAGAATAATGGTTTTTACATTACAGTTTGAAGAGGCTTACAGATCTCCGGGTGGCAGAAAGGAGCTGTGGATTAGAAAGTAACTGCAACGACAACATGGAAAACGCATTTCATTTCTCAGATCTAAGAGCTGCCAGGAAAGTTTCAGATAAAGACAAAGTCAGGTAATACCATGGGGTGCCCGTCATTTGGCTGCTTTCTAGAAAATGTTTCCCTCTTCGTCCTGTCATGGAGCAGATCATGAAAAGTATATGAATTATTTAGCATCTACAGCAGACTTGAGAAAGCAATGACCTGCTGGCTTTCCACTCTGTGCAGCCCACGAGCCAGGAGAGCTTATCTGTCGGAGGCACAAAACTAAGACTATTTCATGACATATGACAATCTATGTCATAATCATTCAATAAAGTTTTATTGGCACACAGGCAGACTCATTCATTTATATAAGGTGGTTACTGTGTCACAAGAGAATGGCTGAGCCATTGTGACAGGGTTTACACGCCAACAACGCCTAAATATTTCTTCTTGCTGACAGAA